CGACAGTTATCACACAGTAAGGAAATGCCGCCTGGATACTTCTGGTAGAAATCATTCTCGAGCCAGCAGTTCCACACTAAAATTTGACACACTCTTCAGAGAGAAACGGAGATATTAGACAGTCTTATCTAACTCCATCGGCTGGATGTGAACAGTGGCAATAGACTCTAACTATTGGCTAATGTAGCTGTCGCTTCCATTCCATTACCAGTTTTTGACCAAAACCTCGTGGTCCGTAACGTAGGCACTATTCGATCTTACAAATAAGAGTTTGATGTACTAGCTGTTAGCTGAGATGGACCGATGTGAATATGAAGAAGCTGCAATGAACTCGCAGAGAACGAGCAGTCCCTACAAGTGTGTTGCTTGAGAATGTAAGCGGCTTTACTCGACATCATAATGGTGTTTTGTAAGTGCAACCAATGCTTTTCTATAATCTATGAGTGGTAATCAGTTAGTCTTGACTCCAGTATGGTTTGATATTTTTCTATAATGCTAAGTGATCGATCTGCTTACCTGAATCTGTTTAGAACGTTTATATTCACCACCTAATCACAAAAGAAACTTGGTTCACGCTTTGGTAGCTGATAACAACGTGATCTATTCGAGTGCAGATTAGAGTCGCAGCGGGAGGACACGAAGTAGGCTTTGACCTACTCAAAGGCACAGTTGTCAGACCAGTAATCGTTTAGTCCCAAATGACCATTTACACAACTCTCCTTTAAACCTAAGCACATGATCTGTGCATTCAAGTCACCAGATAGCACTACGATATTTGTTGAGAACGTCTGTTTGAAATCAGTCAAACATTAGTGGGACTCATGCTTAAGTTTATCCAAAGTGCCATCCGTCGGTAATGCAAGCGTAGATGAGAATACAACACTTCTCTAAACAGTATAACATCTAACCGGACAGTAAAAAAACGACTGCATTAATGAGGTGTTCAGTAGAGTAATACACCTTCGGCACCACTTCTTGGTACGACATTGACACCAGTCTATACTATGGGGTCAGTGGATAAATGCATGTGAAACAAAGAGGGTTGTTAATTCACTATCCATATTTAAGTAAGCAGGCACCATTTCAGTTTAACGAAACCAATCCTGAAACCTACATTCGATTCTAAAGACCAAGTTGTTGCTCTGACTAACCTGTTTCAGGGTTGGGCATTGAATAAATATAACTGGACTGGAGGATAAGATACACGCACCACACTAGAGCACCTTCAACAACCCATAGAACTTAAATGTTACCGAATCACGAATATTCACAGAATTTGACAATCTCCTCTATCTATATACGTATTCCTAGTGGTAAAGACTTTAAAATATACATATACTGAGCAAAACTTCGCCTCAATTTGTGGAGTACAAGTGTTAAATCTCAAAGACTGTAATTCTAATATTATGTACGTGAAAAGCAAGACCAGTAGGCTCACACAGAATAGTTTACGCTGACCTGTATAATATGAGATTGTCTATCTGTCTGTTTTCGACATAGAACTTTGCACTGATGTGAGGCAGTTCAAGTCGCCACACCCCCTTTATGTAGCACACAAAGCAAGAGAAGAAATGCACAATAGAGACAGTAAACAGAAGTGTGAGACAAAGGAATAGTAATAACGAAGAACAATATAGTTTCATTGGAAATCATAAGTCACAAGGAGTGGATGCATCTGCGCCATCCATTGAGAACGACGAGTTTAAGCCATATCACCAATTGTTTCCAGCCCTCATTGGTTTTTACTGTCCCGAGGACCCCGACCAGGAAGTCTACATCTTCCTACGTGGCTTAGACTAACTGTTGTAGATTTCATTGACACGTGTCCTAACCATCTCAGTCGACTGATTTCCCCACCACCCACCCACCCACCCCCAACTACCTAGCACTCAGCCGACGCCTAACCCCAATATTACTCACCTTATTATACTACTTCACACGAGAGATAGAGTGCAGGCAGACAGTTAATCTTTTCATGTCTTCCACTCTTATATTATGAGGTTAACTGTTTACGAGAGAAGAGAAAAACAACACACAACATGAAATGGTTGTCAGATATATTTCTTTTATTTGTCATTATTATTATTATGATATTATTATTAGCATCATGAAAACGAACTGAATAACGCGCTTTAGCATATCAGACTTCTGAATACTCACACTCACTTAATAAAACAAAAAACAAAAAAATTCAAACCAACTTAACCACTAATTGTAGTCGTAGTAGTAGTGGCGTTAGTAGTATAATGACTGATGTGAAGGAAACACCTTCATCAAAAGCAAAACAGAACAAAACAAGAGAAGAAAACAAAGAAATATAAACTGAGCAAATATTAAACGAACGACAAAAATAACAACTAGATAAAGGAGAGTGAGAGGGGGGGGAAACAGAGAAAATCAAGAGAGAAACATAAACTTGCAACACAGAAATATAATGGCGTCGTCGGTGATGGTAACGATAGTAGTAATATTAGTAGTGGTAGGGGGGACTATGAACGCGTAGAGATGAGTCACATTTGGAAACACCGAAAGAAAAGAAAAAACAAGGAAGCATGATGGAGAACACACATCCCCCCACTCCTTCTAAAGAAAATTGACTAAGAAAACAAAAAATATTATTATTATTTCTTTTATCATTGTTTCCTCCAACAAGAACAAAAGTCAAAAGGGAGTAAAGCAAAAGACCAAAGCAGCAAGATATACACGCAGAGAAAAAAAACAGTGGCGTAACTTGAATGATGAAAGAAAGGTGTGTGTTTGTGTGCAACACTAAACAAATGGGATAGGACAGCAAGATAACAATACAGGCTGCCGAATTATATATATATATATATATATAAATTTGAAGGTTGTTTGACACGCGCGCACACAGTGCGTGTTCAAGATATGGAGGAGCTGAACACGCGCACGTACACACGGGGAAAGACCTTAAAGCGTGAATGAGTGTGAAATGCATTAAACTGTTTGTTTTTGTTCTTTCTTTCTTCAAGAATGCTCTCGCTAAAGAGCATACATATTTATATGTAGGTGTGTGTGTGTGTGTGAAGATATATACTCATCCAATGGAGAAAAATTCTGATTTGTGCAGAGAAATATACAAAAAGAAAAAGCACAGATATATTGCAGCTTGAACTAAATAACTGTGCGTACCCACACACATACATGCATACATACACAGAGAGGGAAAAAGAGAGGAACACAGTTGTTTGCTTTGCTATTTTTGAAGTAAGGAAAGAGAAAAAAAGAAAACGGTAAATAATCACATAACATATGACAACGACGACGACAACAAATACACCCCTTCCATGTGTGTTATTTATTTATAAAACAGCTTTTGATAATTTACAAATACTACAGATTTATTGAATGTTATATAAGCTAATTAATAAATTGATTACCTCCTCCTCCTCTATCTCAGAATAATATTACAGAATAACAGCTAGCTAAAATTACATACACTCTATAACTTCTTGGTGTTATTGTTGTTGGGTGTTGGGGTTGAGAGTTCAAAGACTACAACGATGATGGTATATAACAACACAATATAAAAAGTATTAACAATACAACAACAACAACAATTACTACTATTACTAATATACATGTACAGTCTAGTGAGGAAAAAACATACATATATATATCAATATGTATTGAAGGATAATTGTGAAAAACCAGAAGAACAAGGACAAAAAAAGGGAGAAAAACTTCTCTAACTAATGAAGGTGAAATTTAGCTGCGCGAATGTACAATACAAAAAAGAAGGAAGAACAACAGAGAAATAAGAAAAGGGAGAGAAACAGAGAGAGAGAAGGGGGTTGGAACACACGCACGCACCCACACCCACCCACATACACACACAAACAAACAGGATATGATGATAAGAAGTATATATATATAATTAGAAGCAGTTATTCCACAATGATTGTATTACTTTCAATGCGGGGATTTTGGGGTGCGATGGGGTGGGGTGGGGACAATACAGCACAGACACATACCTTACAAAATACCTCATCTGATGGTTGCAGAAACCATGAGCAAAGATAAGGAGGAAGAAGAAGACGAAGTACAGAGAACACAAAAACAACCCCTGAGATAATGCTGATGATAAATGTTCAACACACAGCACAGCGCGCACACACACACAACGCACACAGACCCTCACAAAAATGTTTAAGAATCACATGATAAAGTGTGGTTGGTACACAGTGTACAAAAAATAAGATAAAGTACAACTAAAAATAAAGTGGAGAGTTCTTTCTCAAAAAAGGATGCTCTTTAATGGGAGACTATGGATTATACATATGTATATACGTATATGCATACGTATGTAGTGAATGAATGCTGTCGTTATGTATACTAATCACTATTAATCATTAAAATGAGCAAAACTACTACTGATTATGTAAATATACTTTGTGATGATATAACATGCGAAGAGAGAAAGAGACGCGTAGAAAGAGAGGCAGAGAACATGGGACAATAATAACAATAATACAAATGAGAATAATAGTAATAATAATAATAATAACAATAGTTACTATTATTGTGATGACGAGAAATAGGACGAACGGATGGATAGATAGATAGATAGATAGAGTAATAATATCGAAGACATTTTTTTCCTCTTTCTTGCCTTGTTTTTTCTGAAAATCAATTATAGTCAGTTATTCAGTTATAGTTAGTTGCCTATCATTATGCAGAAATTTCACATTTTATAATATATATGTTATAATATATAAACTCTTCTTCTCTCAACACCGGGGTTAAAACATTTTTTTCTCTTCCTGTCTCTAAACTCACTCACACATACACACACAGAGAGACATCAAGATTAAATGTATTCTCTTTTCTCTGTCACAGAGAGCAAAATAAGAAATTGATTATTCCCTTGCTGCTGTGTTATTTATTATATATTCATTATTATTATTATTGTTAATATATTCAATGAAAATATTGATTTCTCAAATTTTTTAAAATATATTTATTTATTTTTTTGTTTATTTGTGAATGAATCGAATGAGTGAGTGAGTGAGTGAGTAAGGAGAATAAATGTGTGAATGAACGAATGAGTAGTAGGTGAGCAAGTGAGTGAGTGAGTAAGTGAGTGATAAGCAATATTTGCTGGAAAGATAAGGATATTTAAATACAATTTTGATGTGTATACGACGACGAAGAAGAACAAGAAGAAGAAGGAGAAGACGGGAAGAGACACTACTACTAGCGCGTGTATATCTCATCTTATCGAACAGCTGTTTTAGTAGACGGGATCAACTCAGCAAAACACAAATTGACCGACTGTAACAATACGCTACGGTTCAAAAAGAAGCGGAAGTAGCCATTCATCGTCTTCAACCGGTCTGAAAGTTAGAAAAAAATATGACGATAATGTGTGTTTAGGAGACGGAACTCGAGAGAAGAATAATAATTATGATAACTAAAATTTAGTTAGGGTATACACTCAATGAAAGCAAAAACAAGAAATACATCTATTATTATCATTATTTAAACACAAAAAACTTCTTACAATATGACACACCACACAATAATAATAAAATAACATAGATTGAAATTTAAAATATACGCGGAAAACGGATTACGAACTTTATCTGGAAGGATAGAAAGAAGAAAACTGCAACACGCTCGCCACTGATTACGATTCTTGGCCATATACGATAACGTTTCGAGCCACGGATTAGTCATCCCTCAGACTCCAACCAGGGAGTCTTGACGCACCGTCCGATGCTAACCTAACACAAATATCCTTCATCCTATGATGCCACACGTCATAGGCTGACCACCTCTCCACCTTTTCAATCCTGTCACAGGGCTAACGAACAGAGACCTTTACCGGAAGCCTCTGGGATGACATTCGCTGCACATGTTTCCAGATGATGACACTCAACGAACGGTGATCTTCATTGCGTCCAAACACACGCCGCCGAACCTCAGAGTCATTCACGTGGTGATGCCATTGAACACAAGCAATCCTGTGGAAACAGCGATCAGCGAATACGCAGAGCCGCCTCACATCCTCAGCTCGGACAGGCTAGGTTTCACAGGCGTAGAACAAGACAGCTCTCACCGAAGCATTGCATACCCGAAGTTTGACAGCGAGGCTTACGTCGCGACGGCACCAGAGGTGGTTCAAGCTAACGTAAGCTGTTAATAGTAACACACATTCGAAAAAGCGGTGTAAACGAGTCATTTGAAACATTAAAAGGAACGATGGGACACTCCTCCTAAGATGAACTAAGAAAAAAGTGCATATATTTTTCCCTCCAAAAAGTTGACGGCCTGTTCAAATTACTGGGCTAAAATGCTGGGTATTTACTCCGCTGCATATCGTTTGCAGCAGCATCTCAATTATCGCAATGAGTCGCATTCTATACTCACAGCCCACAATTTTAGCTATTTGCTAGGGATTTTTCCAAAGAAATGGAGGAACAACATTTTGGATTAGTATAGGGATATACTTCGGATGGATAGATATTTCTTCATATAGAGGGATTATCGGTTATTATGATACCTGAAGATTTTGCGCAAGGAGTAAAAGTACCTTGCTATGAAACTCCCAAAACATTCTGTGATATGTCCACATGCCCTTCTCAGAACAACGCTATCACACTTGCTGAAAAAGATACTATCTATTGGTACGATGTGTCGAGGTCGAGTAGCTAAAGTTTACTGTACAACGTAGGCGACAGCTTGATTATAAATGCTATCAAAATGTATGACCCCCTCCCTGTGAATAAGATCACACCGATACAGAATTAAACCGTACAACTCCTATTACTATGGCGTACAATCTTGATTGTCTTTAGTAGAATAACCCTAACCACTTCAATAATGTGATTCTAGCAGCTTGTATTCCTTTCACTTTACTGAAACAAACAGCTGTTGTGTGAAATGTAGTTATCGGGCAGAATGGTTTTATTTGAGCCAACCTATAAGGCTGGCAAGCCTTTCTGATAACAAAATACATGAAACACTTAACCCTCTGATTATTTAATACAAACACCTTTAAACACTCTTCAAATTTTAGCGGGATGTATCTGTTATGTTTCGCAAGACGTTGAGACTGACTAGGGAACACCGAGTTAGACACAGATAGCACATCTGCCCACGAATACCGCTTGACTACGGCAAAAGCATTATATGACAGCTACCTATTCCCCAGCCTATTCTACTTAAGCGAAAGCACACAACGACGTGAGACAAAAAGTCTATTTCCCTATCAGCTATACCCTGTCTATTTTACACAATAGTGTATGATTCAAAAAATTATCAAGGTTATGTCAGTTAGTCTTTATTCATGACCAATTAAATAGTCGGAGTTATTTTACACTGGCAAGTTCTGATTGGTCTAATTCCAGATTAACCTTGACCACCGATTTACCAATAAAAGACAATCCATTGTTTATCTGTCTACATATCATCATCGACAAAATGACATTATACCAACTTGTATGGCAATACGGTTGCTTATTGTACATAGTATGTTTTCTATAGTTGGTTTGTAAGGATTAGTTTTTGTTTATACGAGTTCATCACAGATTGATATCAGTTAGAGAACCATTGAAAACAAACAGGGAGTACTGGACAGCCACCTGCTTCATCCTAGTTTGGAAATCATAGACAGTAGGCACCCAACACCAGGGTTCGAACCCAAGGCCTCCCGGTTACAAGGTCGGCCAGCTTGTATACCATTCAGCGGCTGGGATCCGATTCAATGGCCCATGAGTTCTAACTTCTACCAATTCGTGATGATGTCGTCCGTCATTTCGCATGACTCTAATTACTACTTATATATTTTTACGCAAAAAAGCCATTCAAAACTAACACGCTGTTCGCACCTATTTTGATGAAAAAGGATTGTATACAGAGTAACAATTTTCATGTCGCTTTCTCAGGTGATTTCTCTCTCTAGAGATGTAAAACACAGAGAACATCAGTTAGACAACTGTGGATTGTTTACTATGCTCATGGTACTCTACTAACGTGTTTAAACCTCAGGCTGGTTCACACCAACGAGTTGTGCGACATGACAATGACCACGGAAAATGAAATGAAAAACACAAGCCGAACACGATCACAGTTTCTCTCATGGCATTGAAGAAGGCATATGTATTATGTTCATTATTTCAGTATGGAAAGCCGTCTTAGGAATATCTTAAGTCAACCACCACCTAAGAAACCAGAAGTAAGCAAAAACACATCTTATACACAAGTCGCTAGTCGTCGTTACCTCGTGTATCCAGCTGATAATGTCCAGTATGTGTAGTAGGGAAACAGGAAGATACAATCTCATAGACTTGAGTAATACACAAAACTTGAGAACGAGACAATAACAATAACAACAACAATACAGCAACAATGAAAAAAGTAAATAAATAGATAGATATTTCTACTCACTCATAATCTTCAGAGATTGTATCCAATGGTGTAGGACTGGAATAACCAACACGAAAATTACGTCTAGTTACCGGTATACCAGTTCGTCTACGATTAGGTGGTAAAGGATCACGATAGTATAGTTCATACAACTGGCCAACAAGATTTGCGCATTCGCATACATCAAACCAATCAACCTGTAGTAGAACAGAAATTATAAAATGTGTGAAGTTAATAGTATCATTAATCTCATTCAAGTGTACAGTATCAAGGCAAACGACTGTTCTGACTTAATGAGTACAATGAAAGATAACGCTAGTTTTCAGTCAGTCAAAATGAAAAGTTTTTGATCTAGCTACACATGAAAGCTGACAACTCATTGAAGAAATAAAGAGCACTCAAGATGCTAGCTCTTCTCATGCAAAACTAATTGAGTGGTAGGCTTTTTTCATTCCGCATATTAAAAACAAGATATATTGTGATCCACACTTGTACCAAAAATACGGTGTGGAATCAAGCTGTAACCATAAAATAAATAAAATAAAAAAACTTGCATTGGAGGATTGCGAATATGATAAATAGTGACTAATGAGACGGCTGCGAGTCGGTGGCACAGCGACAGAATGCTTGCTAATCATGCCTCATGTCATCCGGGGTTTGACCCCTAGCCACTGATGCACTCCTAAACTTTGCCAAGCTAGTAATAAGACTGGTAAAGAGGGACACGAGACAAGCAACTCCAAACCGTAAACATTAACACCACTTTTACCGGAATTTCAAGCCTCTAGCTTGAAGCCCTATGTTGACCGCCTATTAAATGACTTGATGACTCAATTGACGTTAATGCTGCACACCGTATATATATATATATATATATATATAGTGACTAGATAAATGACGGGAATACATAATGCAATGTAACTGACTTAAAGGGAAGAAGAAAATACCAAAATATAAGCAAAGAATAAATAAGAAACAAGCACCTCATGGGTACGAATATGAATCCAAATAATGCTCCAAATGACCAAGAATAATCAGTAAGCAGTTGGATCGGGAGTAAAGACCTTGATAACAACCACGTGTGCATGACTGTTGGGGTCCGATTCTCGGTTGATAAACCCCCTAAACCTCACCTAGATAGTAGTAAACCCAGAAAAGAGGGAAGGCTAGGCTAGTAACACCTCACCCCACTCTACCTCCGTAATAAACAACACATACACTATTGAAACCTTAAAGCTTATACCTTCAGACTCAATGTTCCACTCGGAAGGGAAAGGGATGAAAAAACAAACAACTCAATCGATCTACATTTCTTCAACGAACTCACATATTTCAGACTATCCCTTATCTTGTAGGCCTATACATATAACTCAATGAAATAGTCCTAACCTGCTAAGAAAGTTTCAATCAAAAATTACTCTTTGCAGCACATGACCATTCATAACTGTATACAATATGGCTAATAACGTTTATAGTGTGTGTGTAACCATGTGAATTGTGGTTTTGTTTATTGTTTATTGAATATACAATGTAAACATTTCCTCGTTTTACTACACACAATATAAACATTTGCATCATTTATAATTTACGTCATTGTACGCTTGTTCCACGTAATGATAAATTTCAATCGGGCGTGACCATTATTATTATCATTACCATTATTTATATTTCTTTGATGCTGACCTCGTTTGAGGACATTACGTTGAAGGTCAGTTAAACAGTGGCAAAACTCTTTTTTATATTCAACAGAGGTTATTGGGATAAATTCAAACGCCGGTGGCACAGCCGGGGTTCGATCCTCGGACCTCGCTAAGCCAGAAATAATCCTGATAAAGAGGAAAGGTTGGACATGAGGCTAGCAACCCCATCCTGTAAAATAAACACTGCTACAGAAACTTCAAGCCAGTAGCTTGAAGTCCTATGTTCCACTGGGGACGTGAAAGAAAAAAAATCACAGTTGTTGAAGAATTTGAGCAATAAGTACAATACAAACGAATCATTCAGGAAAAAAGACCGGTAAACAGACAGTATAACAGACAGTGTTCACACTTCAGGACTGATAAAGTCTGTATGATCACACAGAATTTTCCACCAGTCCAGTGTTATTACCCCCTAACACTGAAAACAGTAATAAGCCAGCTGTTCAGCATGCACGAAATGGTGTCTGAATTAAGTTACCTTGTATATAAAGACATTTAAATACAGAAAAATTAACTGCCTGTATATTCGTAATCTATAGTATCCCATTTCCTTAAAATCGATCCTGCACTAGGTTTGTTAATACTACCACCCCCCCTATGTACACACGCTTGAGGCTGCAAAACATCAAGAATAAATTGAATATATACGTAAAAAAACAACAGGTATAAAATTACTTACCCCACATAGATCTGCTAGAGGAAGAAGACCCTCTATACCACTTTGAGCCAAAATACCGAGTGCCAAACAAGCAGGACGAAAACGATAAACCTCCAAGGAACACAAAGCGATCTCCATAAGTGCTCCTAAACGTTTGTACAAAAATGTACCACAGGAAAACTTCTTCCGAGGAGTTGTTACAGCATCCTTTTTCACCTCATCTGATTTTTGTACACTTGAGGTCACAATGTTTGTCTCTGTAACTTTCTCTTCAGAAGAATTGTCACCCGACTGAGACACGAAACTGTCCATATTCGTCGCACTGTCGGTTGTATCGTATTCATTGATATCCTTGGGAGATTTAGTGATACAATCAATGAAAAGTTGCAGGAAATCGAATGCATTGACTCCATCAAGATCATGCGACAATTTGGAGGCAAGAATTTCTTCCATACGCAACAGATCAGCAGCGTTACCACCGCAACGAGTAACATGTACCAAAGTTTCCGGATCAGGTAACACAGCATTCTACAATTGAATAAAAACCGTAAACGAAATTACGTTACTGGTACATAAATAGGGAAATATTTGAAAATGCAACGGGATTTAATTGAATTAACCAAAATAAAGGGCATAAACTTCTTAAACTTGTGCTAGCATATAGAAATGACATTTTAAGAAATGTACCATAATGCTAATGTGATCAAAAGCAATTTGAACACCATACATAAACTGCTAAGGGTTATATTACTCCTTTCGTGGGAAATGAGAAATAATTCTTCCCTATAAAGGATAAGTACGACTTATTCAGAACCCACACAAAGCAAATCAGTAACGTCGTATAAATCTGTGCAATAGGTTGTGAGGCAATCCTAGTATAGGAAAACTTGATATGCGCCAAATTACTGTAAGGGAAGAGGAGCTCGAACCCATGAACCAATGACTAGTACTCAAAGTACAGATGAGTAAACTAAAATTCTGCTGTTCTTACGAAATTAAAAAAAAAACAATAAAGTAGTGGCTCAATGGTTTAAGTACTGAAAGTTTATCGTATAAATATCAAAATGTCAGCATGGAAAACCTGCATCAACAAGTTACTTATCTCTAGACTAAATCTACATCACTTCATATTAAGGTGTGATTAGCACTAGTGAACTTTAGAAAGCCATCCCTTCAGTTTCTCCAAAGGTATATATACTCTTCAAGTTCCTCACCAGCAACTTGGACATAAATAGTTTTAATAGATAAGTTTTTATGACATATACAGCACAGATATACACCCCTTGTTGACTAATCCTTTCGCCTAAGCTCCGTGGACAGACTTACTGCGAGTAGTTATTTGTGTTAACTATTTGCAGAACCATAGCATGCTGACAAAAAGTATTGAAGTCAATTTCATACTTGATTTTTCACAAAACTATGTTAGCATCACAGAAGGGTCCTGGATGTCGTCAGAGGATCACGGTTTGACCTAACAACCCCTACCCCAGTCTACACATTTATTAGGTTAGTACTAACTTATTTTCATACTTCATTAATACTTTGTAATGAATTTTTATTTATGTAAACGCAGAAAAAACTTGGTACAATATGGCACCGAGAAGGTGCACCACACAATAATAATAAAACAACATAGATTAAGAGTAAAAATATAGGCGGAGAACGGATAAAAAACTTCATCTGGAAGGAAAACAGTCATACTCGACAAGTTCAAACAATATTCGTTAACTATCGTAGGAAAGGGAAGAAAGAAGGAAATTGCAGCACACTCGCCATTGATTACGACTCTTGGCCACATACAATAACGTTTCGAGTCACCGACTCGAGCATTCTCGGACTCCAACCAGGGAATCGTGACACACCAACGGATGCTAATCTAACACAAATATCCTGCATCCTACAACTCCACACGCTCCTGGGATGACATTCGCTGCACATATCCAAGCCACCGAAGCACGTATTTCCAGATGACGACACTCAACGAATGGTGATCGCCACACTGTGTTCAAACACACTTTGCCGAACCTCAGAATTACTCACGCGATGATGCCATCGAACACAAGCAATCCTGCAAAGACAGCGATCATCGAACACGCAAAGTCGCCGCACATCCTCAGCTCGGAGAGGCCAAGTTTCACAGGCATAGAGCAAGACACCCGACACCGAAGCATTGCATACTGGACCTTTGACAGCCAGGCTAACGTCGCGACGGCACCAGAAGTGGCTCAAGTTGATGTATGCCACCCTAGCCTTCATGACATGGTTGGAAATCTCATCCATCACCCCTCCGCCAGCACTCACACAATTACCCAGATACACAATGAATAGTATTGTATGGTTTTATGATTGCCTGTAGGAGGAGGAGATAGTGGAGTAACTTAGACGGATTATAACACAATGATAATCTAACTCTAACAACCACCGCAGAACAGTGACGTTATTTCAACAGGAAGTAGTGCACAATAAAATATTTACTTAAGCCTATGACATACATAACAAACAATCACACTGTTTGATATCCTAAATATATATATGCGCTTATATGATTTGCTAGTGTATGTACATAAACCAAGTAAGTGCAAGAGAAAAAAATAAACTAAAACAGCAATCAATAATAGTGAAACATTCAGCACGCTGTAGACTTAATCGAAAGAATAATCAACATACATATAATATCTAGGTTAGGTTAAGTTAGTGTACTCGGAATAATAATTGATATGAAAGACTACACACCACACATTGTTTATGCATTAATTTTTCTAGTAGTTTGATTTTTTCTTAAGTAGTAAATTGACTATACCCTCTCTGTGTTGTGTATATAAAATAAAGTGATATCACACTGGAATCACACACTAAGTGAGAAACCATGTCTACTACTGCACACACACACATAAGAAAAAGAAAACTACACAAACACATTAGGTTAACATCCCTAAATGACAAAATAATCACACTATATGACTTTACATGTTGTGCGTATAAGGTTCGCAACACAACAACAGACTTGATGACAAAGCTAACAACAGGTGTAGAAATATGATTATAGAACAATACAAACAAAGTCGATGCACTTAATCTTTAATTATACAGAGAGAGGGGATATCACATCCTGTGTGCATAGAAGCCTTCAAAATGTTATGTTATTTGCTAATCTCTATCTGTGTGAACTTCAAAAGTACACACAAGATACCATTGACAGAAGTACAGTTTTGAGAGTGCAGGTTATTTTACTACATACGACTATAATAAAAAAGATGTTGAGAGAAGTATAAGTCTGTCCCCATTGGGTGTGCTTGCTTGATAGCAACTGAGATACATATGCTCTCCAGTAAGATAACAAATAGCCCCTGGAAAAATCTTGTGGGTTTCCAGAGTCTTCTTTTGCAAGAAAAATTATTTTCCGAGAAGTCATGCATCAAACCTAAATGTGCAGCTTTTAATAGTCACACTTCCCAGAAAAAAAACTTGAAAATCACCACGCAGTATCTTTCCAGTTTCATTTGCTCTATAAAAGTCAATTTTTCTTGAACACTACATTAAGTTGAAGACGTTTCAGTTGTTTCAAGCATAATTATTCAGAGGGAAAGTTGGCGGCAACAGTGTTTTTTTGGTGCTTCATTGTCAAACTCAGTCGACTCCTCCATAATAAGCCTTTTAGGTTCGGATGTATAGGGGCTTATTTTTATTTTTGGGGCCTATAATGCTACAGTATAGGTGAGATTAAAGCCAAAACAGGCTTCCTCTACTTTAAACGCTACTAATTGGCACCGTCTTTCCCAGTTCAATGGTGTAAAGCTTCTAGAGGATTTGGATATCCCACATTTGAACAAAACACTTAAATGACGCTTAACAATACAACTTGAAATTATGTTTTGTGATGTTGCTTAAATCGCCTTATTTCAGTCAGACTGCGAATCCCCTGACCAATAGCTGCTACCTTGACGTGGTCGTCAGGTTTGCACATCGCGATGACCCAACATGCTACATTGGCTGGAACCAATGTTCCTACAGGTCCTACTATGCCAGGAAGATTGTTAGGATAGCGATTAGACTAAAAGCAGTTACCAGCATAGTGGAAGAATTTTTCTTAGATGACCAACATGCCAGCTATGCTGTCTCTCCAACTCTGGAGAGAGGAGGTTAGAAAAGGTCCACCCCATTCCGATTTACCCTACGTTGGTCCATTTTCGGCGGTAAGTTACTAATAGGGAACCAAAGCAGGCTGGGTGTTACCGACCTCAAGCAGTTGTCCCCTGGGCTCTGCTGTCACGCAACACTAACCATCTCTCTGTTTCAGGTACCCAAAGAACCAATCAACTTCCACGGTGTGGGCAGCCGGGAAGTAACAACCACCCACATACTTCCAAAAGCACATCCCCAACACGTAAGTAAATCTGAGTATTATGCATCTGATCCTTAATGATGCAGACTGAGGGGGATAATGCAGCAATCCTCAACTTATACGAACCTGTGATCTTCCTATGAAAAGCAAGATCGAGAAGGTATGAAGGTATATAGAATGACTTAAAACTTGTTGCTGTGATGAGCACACGTCAAGTCGAACCATACACCTTAGTACTATTGTATAATGCATGCATTATCTGTGGATGACTTCCTTTCATCTTGAACTTTCATACTATTTCCTTCTTTATGCTAATATCACGTATGTGAGATACCAGCACACTAAACATAATATTCAAGCATGATTACTGCACAGACTGTGAGAACGAGCTAAGTAAACAAATTAAAATTTGTCTTTGTTTTCGTAAATTGATATTTGTATATGACCCGATGTCAAATACACCCATTCTCTGTATATATACACAAACAAAAATAACCTATCTTAAAGGTGAACAGAACAACTTGTCGAATAAAATATTAAGGATAAAATAAAACAATTAGCATCACACACAGTTGACCGAAGTTGGTCATAAACAATTTAAAAAACAACTGAATCCGACGTGGGGACACGGATAAACGATACACAAAGTGGTGTGATTTTAAGCAGAATATTCTGAATAAAAGTAGTTAGAGATTCAAGGTTAGCACTTATTATTTCGAATTGTACAAAATCAGTTGGAGTATATACACCAACACATCTCATTCAGCAAAGGAATGTAAAATTAACTGTAGACGTTAAGATACAGCACCACGTAAGGCAACAACAGCATAACTTAAAGCCACTTTTATATTGCTTAAAAATTTCAAGGAACCCTATCAGAAACAGATACGTCTACATTATCTACAAAAGTTGTCACACCCCATCATTATATAAATACAAAGCAACAAGAAAAAAGACAAAAAAATAAGGATCAACAAAGTAAAAGGCAGATCAAATGAAGTCAGAGATGCTATCATTATTATTATTTAGGACACACCCTTTAGTAAACTTTAGTAATGCAATATGATTGTTTGAAGCACTACTGGGACTATGAGAAAAATTTACACTGAATATATGAAACGCATTTTAAAATCTCATCTCTGCTTCAAGTTCAAAAATGGACAAACTAATGAGAGGGGCAACTTAGTCCGGTAGTGTATAAAGAGGTAAGATAACAAATAGCCCCTGGAAAAATCTTGTGGGTTTCCAGAGTCTTCTTTTGCAAGAAAAATTATTTTCCGAGAAGTCATGCATCAAACCTAAATGTGCAGCTTTTAATAGTCACACTTCCCAGAAAAAAAACTTGAAAATCACCACGCAGTATCTTTCCAGTTTCATTTGCTCTATAAAAGTCAATTTTTCTTGAACACTACATTAAGTTGAAGACGTTTCAGTTGCTTCAAGCATAATTATTCAGAGGGAAAGTTGGCGGCAACAGTGTTTTTCTTGGTGCAGTCCGGTAGTGTATAAAGAGGTAGGCTGTACACACACACACAACACTTCATATAGCTTTTTCAAGAAAAGATGATGAATGCCTCACAGGAGAGAAAAATTAAACCTATGTGAATAACCTGAATGAACCTCTGGATATTTCCATGAGTTTATCAGAGATGCAAATATTTAGCTAAGTGTCAGCTATGAACCAATAATATAGAGTAAACCCAGAAAACTTAAAAATACACAACAATGGCCATACGACAAGTTTGTAGCATAAGTGGTAACTGAGATGGGTGTTAAGCGAATAAGTCATACAACTAAATAACTTCTACTTAAAGATCAGTATTTAATTGTCTGGTGACGGGATATCCTACAAGGTTTATTTTCATGAAACACACTACTTAGAAATGTGGACACAGAAGGTCTAGCACTGTTTAACATCTTAGCCCCAGAGGGAAACTGTAGTCTGTTCTCCCAGCTTAAGTCACAAGTATCGCCTACAAAACACCTGAGAACTGTGTCCTGTTTCATCAAGCAATACTCAAAATATAGTTAGAAGACATTGAGGATATGCAAAGGTCATAGGCATTTAACCACAAATGGTTTCGTAACACTCAATGTGTAGTGAGTCACGGAAGTAAATGGGGGTTGCATTTCTCCACAATATTAACTATAACAAGGCAGTATTTACATCAGCGCTCAGGATTCATTTAAAGGCGAGCAGACAAAAAGACGAATTTTGAGTTGGTAAGCCTGACACATGATATCAGTTTGTAACTTTTCACAATAAGCACTGGTTGTATGAGGATATGTTCTTGTTTGGGCGAGGTTAAAGCATCATAGCCAAAGTCAAGGTCTTTGAAAATTTGACCCTAAAGAACCGATCAGATACAGGGAATACTTTTTTGGACTTGGACGGAATACCTACGGTACTCCACCTATTTACTAGGTACCTTTTCTGCATATATATACTGTTCGGTAGGGTTATGGCTTTTAGGATTCAGCTTAGGGTCTATGGTTAAGATTAGGGTTAAAGTTAGAACTGGGAGTTGAGTTGTAAACACTAAACCGAGTGTCATATGATATAGTGGGAAGTGCGAGCATGAAGCTGAACAAACGCCAATCACCGCTAACGTTCAGCTACTATTTTTATTAGTAGGTATCATACAGCTCAAAGGCTCAACGAATACTTCTTGAGAGCGTAACTAGACAACACCAAAAAGAGAATACTACTACTACTACTACTCATTTCAATGAATGTCTCTATCTAACTACCATGGGAATATTCTGAAATCCACCGGCTAGTAACCAACAAAAAGTCGCTGGTCGCTGCTAGTAAGCACTCAATATAAGCTTATAATGTCCTAAGACTACTAAGTAAGCGACTAAAGACATATTTTAATACCACAGAAACATGAAAAAAAAATACTTCGAAGCAATATTCACATACCTTGTTGTTTGAGCTGTTCAACTTGCAAACGGCACAATAGGAAGCAGTAGCTACACAAGCCATGTATTTTGGTTTAACCTAAATGGAAAATAAATTTTTGTTATCGGAGTTTGCTAATGAAGACTAGTAAGTAATGACAAATTTAGTAAACATGTATAGAAAATGTAATTAATAACGCCAGCTAGGAATGGACGGAAATGAACAATTAGTCAAGATGTGAGATTTGAAAAAAGCACATCTCACACTTAGTTAAACATGCATAAAGTCATAATAATCAAAAAATTGATGCGTATCAAATTTGAAGTACTGCAATGTGTCTCTGTCAGTCCGTTTTCGACACAGAACTTTGCACCAGTTCAAGTCGCCACACTCCATGTCACACACAAAGCAATGTTAATAGCGGCTTGTTATCTAAAGTTGGTTCTAATCTAAACAGTTAGTTCTTGATGCTAGTACAAATGAAACAAACATAGGTGCTGATGACAAAAGGAGATAATGACAAAAAGAATACCAGATAAGTAGAAGAGTGGAGTACAGCAACTCAGTGCATTGTTATAATCAAAGGCAAAGATATCTGCCTAACGAAAATTAAATCCTAATGCTTAGAGTTCTTCGCACCAAGATTAACTGCAATTCGGGCCAGTTAAGCTGAACAACTAGCGTTCTATGCCAGGAAGTCAGTAGATGATTAGTAATCATATGTAATAAGAGCAGAAAATAAACTCTATATGTCTCATCAACCTATTGCAGTACCACTCATAACAAACAGGATTAATATATGCCATGTTAAAACAGAGATGAAAAGAAAGTTCATAAGACCACTGAAGATATTGGTGATACAAAGCACTCTGCTTTTACCCACACTGAACAACATTTGAGTCTACTTAGTCAAGCATCCCTAGGGCAGGTTAACTGGTGACTTTCAGGTTCTGGTGTCTGTGTTAAATATTTGGAATGAGGCTTATCTCATGGCGGCTAAGTTTGTCTAAATAAATACATAATAACGACACATCCCTTATGTGGAACTTAATATACACAGACTACACTACACTACGTAACTTAGAAGAAAACAGACTCAGTGAGCTGGTGTAACAACCTTAAAGTCTACTCCAAAACATTCCAACTCCAACTAGCTTAGAATATCAGATACTATATATAAAATGGTGAAATGCTTACTCACCTTCACTTTGACAATAAAACGATCTATCAGGTTAACAGCTTTGCAAAACGTTTCCGTAGATAGATTGAAGAAGGAATTATGCATGAAGCGAAGATTGTGCACTGCCTCATTTCTTAGTACAGCATCTACTTTGTCATCCACCTCCTGTGAATTAAAACGAACAATAAATGTTACTACAGCAAATACGTTGTGTAATATGACAGATATCAATAGAAAACGATGAGAAATAACACCATGAAATAAGCAGTTGTTTTCCTGTGGTGGCTTAGACACCAGTGGAAGTTACTATAACTGCATAGTACATTGGTACAACCACTCAACAATCAACTGATGAATATCAAGTCCGAATCTGGCTTTACGATATTCAACCAGCATCAGGAGCATCCCAATACTAAACTTAGAACGTTCAGAAAAATCTTGTTTTGATTTTCTTAACACGTTGGGATTAATTTGAATAATTTATAATGAATTAGAACATGGGTGTTACGCGGCGATGTCGAGTAACACTGACATTCACAGAGAAAAAAGTAAGCGAAATACGATGTTGTTTATAGGTCTTCTTCAAATTACTTGACTGTAGCACTATACAGTTTTCCTCAGTTTAGCTAAGGATCTTTAGTAAAAACATAAATGTGTCCCTATTCAATAAATGACTTTACAACAAAAAACAAAAGTTAGGTGAGAACTTACCGGGTTCACATAATAAAGAAAGGCATTATTTGGTTGGTAGGTGAACTCCTTTGAAAGTAGGTCGTGTAGACGATCATTGTTGAGAAGTGATAGCTGAAAATAGAGTAGAAAAAAATTGTCACGTACAAACTTGAATAAAAAAATATATGCAATGTATTTTATAAGTACAAGTCAATTGTGATCGTCCCCACTTGTTTTGGGTTGCCAGATTAACAGCAACTCACAATAAGAACACAAAGAAACTTCGAAACTAAATGAGTTTATGGAGGTCCCATGAATGCCTGTTTGATAACTAAGAACTATGCAGATGTAACATAGATATATAACCCGCTGTCTCAAAATCTCCTGTAGTTAGTGCCAGCTATGCATGAACAAGTAACGTTGATTTAAGTCTCGACTATCACAGGAACAGATAACCTAACAGTATAATTCAAATTATTGCACTGAATAATATGCACTTCCCTTATCTTAAAGTTTCATAAACACAAGTGATTCCAAAAACCAGATGAACACAAAAACAGACGAGTTATACTTACCTTGCAAAACATATGTGAATAATACTTTTTCGATAAATCTAAGCGAAGGCCGCTTTTTGGTAGCGAACACATTTGACGGAGGAAACAAGATTCAGGGGCAGACACTGAAATATCATCCAACTTCTCATTTGAGTGGCCACCATGCTCCGGACGTGGGCGCTTATAATCCGAAAAAATACTAGATTGTTCATTGGAGTACAACTGATGAACGGGTCTCGAGTCAGTTGAGTTACTTGAAACATTTACAATATTGGGTGATTGGGAATCATTCCCACTGTACATAACTGGTGATGAATCACATTTTTGAGCCCTCCTTATACGGCTAGGGTACCGTTTGTATTGGGAGATGCTACGTTTAGATGCCCTGAGAAAACCAAATCTGGATCTGTTAGTATAAAAAGATGCAGCACAGCCGCCATTAGTGGAATGCGTCATTTGGGAAGGAAATGAAGGTTGATGTTGATTGAAAACCTTAGCCATGAACTTTTCTATTTGTTGTAGTCGACGAGATGTGGTTTCTTCTTGTGTTCAGGATGAGAATAAAGTATGAAAATATATACCAGCTGAATTGACTGAGGATAATGCAAAATAAAACAAAGTAATCTGTAAGTTCAGGAATAGGCTGCGGTACGAACAAAGAGAATGTATCACGAACAAATCAACGACGACCTGAGAACTTGCTGGTCGAAAGTAAGGGATACTGCGGTGTCCAATATATACAACAATGGGCTACGCTCACAAAGGCCAGTGTTCTTTTAAACCAATAAACAAATAGTATTCTGAACCAATAAGAATAAAGGTCATTGATAATGCCATTCTTAAAACATAAATTGACCAAACAGCTGCTTGCTTGAATAAATCAATGAGTTGAGTTTAACCAATCAGAAAACAACAAATTTATTTTCGACCTTGTTTGTTATAATCAAATAATAGACAAGTTTTAACAATTGCCCTAGATGTTATGACGTGAGGTGTTTGTTTATTGGTTAACTACTATTGGTCGACCTTTGTTTAGCTAATAACCTTCCATATTTTTTGGTAACTATGACAAATGTTAACTACTGAAGCAAACCTTAGGACTAACATTGTCGAAGGAGGTTTAGTACTACAGTCGTTTTAGTAGGGGATGTCACGTCCCATTATAACAAAGGTTTTTGCATTTCCCAATGAGTGAAAAAAAGATGTTGTTTTTACTGACGTTTTGCTATTTAATGCTAATAGCTTTATCAAAGTATTATGAATAATGTTACATTCCAGTTTACTTAGGTATAGACAACAAGCCTTAGTTACTCAGGTCTTAATCACTTTGTCCATTTTTATCCCATCAATGGCTGAGGGGGGGAAGTGTTTCTGGAACACCCACCATACATTATGGTGTGAAGAATTCCAGCTTTTCACTTAAGTTATATATTCGTTATTCTTAACTCTCACTGATGATATTCTAATATATAGATAACACTATTTTGGGTTCGACTATTCCTACCATTTCTTGAGTAAACTGCTTCCTATTCACTTGACTGAATCAGTTTTCAGAAAGTCTGATGACTTCTAGTATGATGGTCTCTATACTCCCGTAGCCTGTGTTATGATGTTATCATTTCGCGTTGTATAAATAATTGCTTGTATTTGTGACTTATTCAACATCTGTTACCCAAAATACATTAAAGAGAAGACCGTAGGTGTGTCATAGTGAAAAAATGTTCTCCTATCATTCCATTGCCGCCACTTGCTGTCGTATGACTTATATCCACTACAGAATATAACCGAAAACCACTAAATTATTTTAGAATTACAGTTGTGAAAATTTTATTGTTTTATTTATTCAGTTATCGTGAAGATCAATATTTATTTTTATTCATTATTCGAGTAAGTCTAAAGTTTGTTTTTGTGTACATGATACGAATAAATTAAAATTAATCTTTCAAAATATTGATGTTTTAGCATGAAAAAAAAACTAAGTACCTGGTGATGATACTAGAAATCTTGGCTCAATCACCACGTTTTGTATACTGGTAGTAACTGAATGCTAATATCTTATCATCACTGAACTTTTTTTTAAAATATATCAATTCTGATATTCGAGTAAAGCCGTATTATAAAATTAAAAATCTGTTAGATGAAAAAGAAAATACGTTCAGAGAAAAGATACTTTTCGGCGAATTCATTCACATACATGTGCAATTGCATATATATATATATATATATATATTTGTGTGTGTACATAAGGTTTGTCAATTTTAGATAATTATATATATGCGATTGTACAGCTGTGTGAATGAATTCGTCGAAAAGAGTGTCTTCGCTGAACGTCTTCTCTTTTTCATATGACTCAATAGGGATTTATAAGTTAATCTGTTAGATTTAACTTGACTAGAAGAGGTTACATCATAGATTTCTATCAACTGAAGGAACCCCTGATGAATGCCGCGAACAGTTGCTTCCATCTCTAGGAGATTCTTCAGCTTGTAGAATCACGACATAGAGATCGGTCGAATTCAGAACAGTCAAATCTGATTTCAATAGTCTGACTTCCCATTATAAATTCATCTAACTGGGCCAATAAATTTCACTTACGATAACTAGGATTCACCGTTGTGCTATGTGGTGTGTGCTATTGATAACATTCATCAGTAGTATGTAAAGCGACGTTCATCGGTACTAAAAACACATTAAATAACAGGAAGACAGATTTTATGTCAGGGAAGCAAATGATACAGCGTTGTGGAGATACATGGGAGACGTGAAGGCGACACAAAGAAACACAATATGAAGTAGGAAGATCTGTGGAAATGGTGCGTTGAATATAAGGTGTACATCATTTGGATATATAGAAGTACCAAGTCTTTTGTCTTCTAATAAATTTCATTAGAACTCTTTCACTAGTTAATTTACATACTTGGTCATAAAATATTAGCTTACTGGACGTGTAGTATGATAGATAAAACAGTTGTTTCGGGTGACAAGATGATACTGAAAACAGTAAAACTAAAGGTAAGTTTCATCCCGATGAACAATGAAGTGAGTTATCATTTTGAAGGCTTGTTAGTCATACGCCTGAAAGATAATAATACGTTACTTCCTATAAGATAGTGAACTAATGTCATTTAGAAAACCACTGAAAACTAGAGAGTCCTGGACAGATGTTTCGTCTTAGTTCGGGACTCTCCAGTGATCGCGCCTAGGAGCTTCAGGACACTAGGTCTGTCGGTGAAATGGCATCCAATAGGCAATGATTTTTGACTTCTATCAGTTTGTGCCATAAATGATATAGCCGCCTGCTAATATCATAGACGAGTGTCTATTCTTACACGCAACTTCGCTGACCTTAGCGGTCATAACTTCTCTCTGAAAGCGAAGTCAGTTTATGATTTGACTTGAAAATGTATTTAGTTCCCTGTAAAGCAATGTTTGCGTCGGTGGTATAGCGGTGAGGACGCTCGCCGACCATGCACATGGTCCGGGGTTCGATCCCCAGCCGACGCACCCCATTACCTCGCTAAGGCAGTAATATTGCTGGTAAATAGCAAAGGTTGGGCATGAGGCTAGCAATCCCATCGGTGCGTCGGTGGCACAGTGGTTAGAACTCTCGCCGACCATGCACATGGTCCGGGGTTCGATCCCCGGCCACTGACGCACTCCTTTACCTCGCTAAGCCAGTAATAGAACTGGTGAAGAGGGAAGGTTGGGCATGAGGCTAGCAACCCCATCCTGTAAAATTAAACACTACTACAGAAACTTCAAGCCACTAGCTTGAAGCCCTATGTTCCACTGGGGAACGTGAAGAAAAAAAACAATGTTTGAAAATTTTGGTGAATGAAAGCTATAACCTTTTGACACGCTGTCGTTGTAACCCTGATTACTTTAATTTTAAAAAGATACTAGCAGCCTTTCACAAAAGTGTTTAGGATAGTTCCACTTTAACAGAATATATGTTTAAATGTTTAATATATCCAACCTAGATATCTAAAAGATGGATGTTAGCCACAATATTGATTATCTCTACTGCATAGTATCTTTCAAAGTCCATATATTAATTGCATATCATAGAAGGTACGTCATTGGTTCAGCAACAGAGAGCTCGCCAACCACTCACGTTGCCCAAGGTCAAAATCCTGGCTGACAAACGCCTAAACCTCACTTAGCAAACTATAACATCGATAAAGAGGAAAGGTTGAATGTGAGGCTACCAACCCCATCTCTTAAAAAAGAAAAAAAACACCACTACTACTACTTTAATTTCAAAGCTCTACTTGGTACTCGAAGAGGTAACATTAAAAATTAAATTCATATCATTGAAGTATTTGAGGAGTTATTTTCTGTTTCTTGTTAAGTTTTCTTATTTTGAAAGTACTCAGCTCTTCGCTTTATTACATCCTGCATAAAAGTCTTTTCTTTTTGTATTTCACTTTATTGTTATTGAGTTTTGCTTTACTTTGTAATATATTATCGCGATAGGATGAGTCATCACACGATAGCATTGTTGTCACTCTTCTCTCTCTTTTTTATATTAGCTTTCTGCTGCGTCCATTATTCAGGTGTTCATATTCTAAAAGCCAATATTTAAGGTTGATTATAAATTGTGACCATTTCTAAATATAGTAATGGGTGAGACTTAGTTATGCCGTGTACGCATGTTGGTATGGGAACCATTTAGTATGACTCATTATCTCTTTTAGCTATCTTGTTAAGACCATCATTATATATATATATATATATATATATATATATATATATATATATATATATATATATATATATATATATATATATATATGACTGTTTGAGGCTTGTAAACATCTTTATAAAAAGAAACATTTTATACAACCAACCACAGTCAGAGAGAGAGAGAGAGAGAGATAATATTCATCTGATAATTAGTTTTAAGTGTTACATTTCAAACAATCCCTAAGTTCCATAAAACCAAGATGACTTCGTATGTTTGTAAGATAAATAATTAACGGATGGCCAACCTCTTATTACAGTTGCAACTCTAAATATATAACATACGATACAATGGGAATGCGTCATTGTCAATGGTTAGCTTCTGTGATCGACTGTCTGAGAGACACTGGCCCAAACACTTTGACGACTTCAGTGGTATTCGCATTTACTGTCATCTTTCAAAATCTTTCTGTGGCTGAGGATTTCTAAAGTCAACTATAATTTAATGGTATTAAAATGACTGAATCAGAAATCTCTGTAGCAGATTGCTTCACCTGATCTTATAAATCCCATCACACGATTAATTAAAGGAACTAACTCAATCGATCAAATAATTAATCTTAACTGAATACGGTGATCAACGTATATGTCACTCATATTAAACCTCTATCTGCGTCGATAAGATAAATTAGATGAGGTATGGTATAATTGAAAAAGAGTTAGAGGCTGATCAACTCAAAACATAACATAACAAATCCACGAAGTATAGGCGACGGTTAATTCGAACCATGTACAGAGAGAGAGAGATTCACGTCGCCTAGCACAGTTAACGGAAATACAGTCTGTTACGTAATTTGAAGAAGTCTTTGTTTTCCAATAAAGCATGTGTACTCACTTCTTATGATCTTTGAAATTTTGGACCGCTTTATCAGTCTTCACATTTGTGCAGTGTAGTATACTATTCCATATCTGGAATTCATCATGAGCTGACATCGGTTAGGAAACCATTGGAAAACCTGAGGGG